GGGCTACACTATAAATCTAGCTTTCCTCAGTGCAATGGGGCTGTTGATGAGACTGAGATGGCCTCAGGGATACTGTGTGTTTCTACTTGAACAGCAAGGACAAATGTTTCCCATCTCCCGTCTGAGCCAGTGCCAACCTTTCATCATTTAAAAAAAAAAAAGTGTTAATGGAAGTTATACCCTGTGTGATTTATATTGCATTCACATCCACATCTTGTTCATCATCATCCAGAAACACTGATGTAGAGAGAGAGTGTATTATTAACCCTATTGTACTGGTGCAGAGATTGAAATCCAGGGACTCATGCAAGATCTCAGTGTCAGGGATAGCTGCCTCCCCATTAACCTGGTCCCTGGACGACCTGGTGCCTAGAAGTAGGGCCACATCTGCAACATGCCCATAGGCTACACTGGGCTTCTTCTCTGGGTTTCCAAGAGGCCCGTTTAGATAACTCAGCCCAAGTCCCAGCTGTCTGTCCCGACCTCCCCATGGGGGTGTTTAATCAGCCTGGCTTGCTGCTTGTACGCTGGGTAGTAGATGATGCCGGGTAGAATGTTCCACAGATCCACGAGGATGAAACAAAGATGTTTCTGTTCTTTCTCTGTTGTGGGATGTCTCTGCCAGTGGAATAAAATCTCCAGGTAATCTGAGACTCTGTTTTGACCCCAAGCATCATGCCAGTTTAAAGAAAGCCTAACTATCTGAGCTCCTAAGCTGGTAATGAGAAACAGCAGAAGAAGAGCTTTGGGGTCAAGTCACCCGGGTTTGTTGTTTGAATTTCCGCCTACTGACTGTGTAACACTAGAAAAGTCCCTCTTTTTTCAAAGTCTCAGTCTCCTTACTAGTGAAGTGGACATATTAATCCCCATGTCATAGTAGATGAGCTAATTCATACAAAGTAGCTCATATGAATGTGCTATCAACCATCCTCTCATCATGGCTCCAGGGTAGGACAAGTACAACTACAGAACAGGAAAGGGTTGTTTCCAGTAGAAAAAGCCTGGAAATAATTTGCTCCTTGACTGTGAACTGCTGTAGCCCAGGATTTAGCCCAGAGCTGGGCACATAGAAGGGACCACGGAAATGGGGCACCTAGAGGAAACAGGCTTACTGAAGGTCTCACAAAGCGCTGATTACAGCCCTGGGATCAAATTTGAGGTCTCTTTACTGAGTCCTGTAATCTGTTTACAAGGAAAAGCATATGCTCCCAAGGATGATGGATACAGATCCTAACCCTGCAGTAGGAGATGAACAGACCTTCTCCTGCTGGGTATTTTTAAGTTCACCAGTCTAAAGAAGAGAGCCAGGTAGAACATGGCCAGTATTTTTGTAGCCACCCAATTCTCCACATTCCCTGTTACACTCAGGCCTCCTCCCCAACCTCCTTCAGCCTACTTGGATTTAAATGTAAGAAGAAGAAGGGGTGAGGAGTTGCTTTTGTTCATACTATGGGTGGAAAGCTGGCTGCACTAGGACACAACCCAGATACACTTGACGTAGCTTCCCACCTTCTCAACTGGCATCTTTCTGCAGGTCACTGGATTTCTCAGACCTTAGTGTCCTCATCCATCAAGAATGGTTGGGAAGCTCAGAAGGAACAGCCTGTATGCCAACTCACTGTAACCTATAGAGTGAGCAATTTATTGTCATTAAATGAAAAGACAAAGAAAATGAGCAAAGAGCAATGTCTTCTTCCTTCTTCAACTGCCTAATGGCCTCAGCAATCCCATTTTGTCTGGCGTTGCCTTGTGCACAGAATAGGTGCCTGCTCAGAGCTGGGGAATCTTTGCAACTTGCGGTGGGGTAATCAACTGAGACAGAGATGAGTACGCTGGGCTGTGCAGGCTCCGGAGCACTCCCATCTGAAATGTTAATGCTTTAGAGATTCTCGCACTAGTAATCAATCGACACACTGATCTAGGGGCAGAATGGAGATCTTAATTTCAAAGAGGAAGACCAAACATTCTCCTTCTGCCTCCTGTTAAAACTCCATACACTAACTACAGAGATCAGATGCCTTATTAACCTTGGGTGGATGCCCAAATGTTTGGTGACTTTGGCTAAATTGCTTAATCTCTCTGAGCCTCAATTTCCCATCACTTTTTCATCTCAAGTTTATCCTAAGGATTACAGAAGATAATACCCCCCAAATAATTAGCAAGTGTTTAGGGCCTAGTCAACACTCAATTAAAGGTGGCTATTCTTATTCCTGGTTCATTTTATATTTGTCCTCAGGGAGGACAAAGGATGGACAAAGCCCCATAGGTAGTTAGGCACAGAAGCAAGACTAGAATCAAGGTGTTCTGAGCCCTGGTCTTAGACCAAGAACAATAATCGTATCAGATGGATATTTTCCTGCCAGGGGGCTGTCAATAATTCACATGGAAATCTCGGGGCTGGTTACAAGAAGTCTCCTTTGGGACTGACAGAATTTTATTAACAGACTTTGACTTGGAACATGGGTTTTTGTTGTTGTTGTTGTTAGTTTGTTTTTTAGGAATGGACAAGAGAACCAGGTTAGCTCAGTGTCTGAATCAGTTTTTGTTGTTGTTGTTGTTAGTTTGTTTTTTAGGAATGGACAAGAGAACCAGGTTAGCTCAGTGTCTGAATCAGATTTTCATATTGAGGAAGACTGCAGATGGGGGAAGAGTGGTGTAAATGATGTGCTTCCATGTGCACATAGTTCCCTGGATCTGGGGTGCAGGGTGTTGTCCATGGATGTTAGGAAGCATGGGCTGGGGGAAGAAAGAGCGCGTGAGAGCGAGCACGCACAACAGAAACAACTAAGACCCAGCAGCTCAGGTCACATCCCCGGAAATGCAAGCCTAGCTCCTGCAAAGTACTTCCTGCTGCTGCTCACATTTTGGGCTCTGCAATAACTTGTTTGGACAGCGGGTTGTATGGTGAACTGACAGGCCATTCTACTTTTAATCTATCCATTTCTGTCCCTTAGTCAACAAACATCTGAGCTTCTGAGATCCTCAGCGCATGCACCTGAGCTCCATGTCAGCACCGGGTATCTTTCTGAGGCTGCAGGGATTGACCAGCCACAAACATTCAGCTGCACTCAAACCAAGAGCTTCCTTGGTTGCTGGCTGATGCACACATATCTGTCAGGCCTTGCCAAGGGAACGGACGCCCTCACTGCCATCCCCTTCAGATACCATAGGCATCTTTCAAGAAGACAAATGTGTTTTTTACTGTAAAGAGGAGTCATCCGAGAGAGGTGCTTTTGGAGTGTAAGACATTTTTTTGACCCCCTGAACTGGGGCAAATCCTAGGTCTCTAGGAGAGCTTGGACTCAAGAGCTAAGGTGAAGAACAAGATGCGCCATAGAGGAAGAGGAAGGGCTGATTTCGATCAAGTCCAACTAGTGACTCTAAAGCAATACAGGTGAATTGGCAAGGCTTACGAAAGGCTCTAAAGGCCATCTACAGAGAAAAGCCAAAACTAGAAATAGCATGAACAATGGTAACTTCTTCAGAGTGAGGGCACAGATGGCCATTCCAAGGACCCATCTAGGTAAAACTCTTCTGGTGTTGGGGTCTAACCTGACCAAAACAAAAGCAATTACTTACTAATCACACCTTTTAAAAAGGTATTGGTGGAGTCCCTGAGGAGAAGGGGAAGAGGGCATCTGCAACTACAACTCACCCACTCTTTCCTCCCAGGGATGGAAACAAGTGTGACACAAAGGAGGAACTGAAAATCATGCCGGAACTAATCATGGACTCTGGATGCATTACCAAGAGGTTGTTGACCATAAAAGAGAAACAAGAAACAAAACAATAATTGGATGGAGGTTAAAGGTTGCCTTCTAGAAGATCCCTGGCATAAGTGCTGGCAATCTGGAGGACAGACTGCTGGCCAAGTAATTGCTCCATCTCAGCCATCTCATCTGACTGCCATCTTTGGGAGACCTGGAACTCCAGTAAACAAAGTTTTGTAAATGTCTATATACTCAACTTGATACCACATTCTCAATACCTTGTTGGTAGAAGACAATGAGGAAAAAAGAGAAAAGACTTCAACAATCTTGTCTAACACCTGTGCACATATAAGAATCCTAGACTAGACAGAAAGCTGACTTACTGAAAGTGGATTACCCTTGGGATTGCAGAATCCAGGTCCTGTAGTTATGTGAAATGACATTACCTCAGAGCTTTGAGCTCCTAGTTCTCTGAACAGGAAGGAAGCAGACCCATGGCTCTATAAGAACCATTTCCTTTCTGCTCTATTAATTTCAGAGATTAGGTCTGTAGATCTAATACACCGAGATAACAGCAACTGTGTTTTGTTGCAACTCCTACGAACCAAGCTAATCTTGGCAGACTGGTGATTTTCCAGGTTTTTATCGTCAAATTCAACTAACCAATGGCTTTCATGGTCCCTTCTATCATCCTGGCTCCTAGATCTGTCACTGGAATCCCTAACCCTGATTTTCCAACACAAAGATGATGTCTGGATTGCAAGTGAGTAGAAATTTGTCAATGAGTTTTTAAAAAGACATGAAGGCCACAGTGTTGAATGGAAATCTTTTTCTATGCCCTAATTACTGGCTTCCTGTTATCAGGCCAAAATGTTGAATAGAAATCTCTTTCTATACCTTACTTACTGGCTTCCTGTTGTCAATGATATTGCTAATACAATACATCTAGTGCCTGTCATTCCCATATTCCTGGTTTCTATGAAGAGAAAAAGTAGGATTTTCTTCCCTCTCACTCTTCGTCTCTTTCTATTTCACGGGGTATGGTGCAGAGATCACTGGACTGGGAATCCAGATGGAGCATTGGACTGCATATCCTGCTCTTCCAGAGACTCAGGAGAGGTAGGGTCAGCACATCTCCGAGATCTCTTCTATGTCAGATTCCAGTTCCTTACACTTTGGCTTGGTTCCCTGCCATCAAGTTAGCACACAGAGTTTCAGTAATAAATCTTACATTGAAGATTAAGATTAAAAGCATTCAACAGTCCCCCCTCCAGGGGCCCATCATCTGACCAATTCCTGGAGCTTTCTGGGCTCCTGATGATTTTCCACCATGGTGATACAGGGAAGAATATTCTTGATGATAAGCCAAGTTTTCCAGTCATCCATTGTGTGACCTGCAATGTTATTCTTGACTCTCCCAGGTACTTTCCTAAATGATCTAGACACAGGGCTTAGGGAGACAAAAAGTACACTGTCTTTCATACACGAAGATGAGACCATTGATCCTGTGAATCACAGTCTTTCACTGACGGACAGGTTTGGGTGTAGTCAGCCACATTCTTTTTCCAGTGTCTCTCCCCACCCCATTGCCCTCATTGAGCCCCTCCCTTCCCCAGAGATGAGGGGCACTTCTGGGAAGTAGTTGGATGGGATAAAATGGCAGTCCCTGGCCATGGGGCAGAGCAAAGCTCTCTGGAGAGCTGAGGGATGGGCAGAGAAGCATCCTGATGTAACTAAAATAGCACTGGGTTTAAGGACAGGCAATGTCAGTCCTAGGTCTGGCCTTTGCTTTTGCGTGATATGCAGTGAGGTCTGGGAAATGGCTCTGCTGTTCTTGACACAGCTTTATTATAAGAAAAACCTTGGTGGTTGGATGAGGTGATGGCTTTTGGCCAGCCCCTTCAGCTCTGCTAGAGTAAGCCTTATGACTCATAGAAAGAGCAGCTCCTATTCCTGCCACTGTTAACATCTGGCCACGTGAGCTGACAATTCATAACCTGACAGTCAGTGGGAGGAAGCGATGAATGTTAGAAGGAGTTCATGAAACCCCAGAACACTGGTCTACAAAAACTAACCAAGCAGGCTGTGATCATGGCCACCACATTGGATGCCCTCCATGACAGATGAGCAGATATGTGCAAACTCAGGTAAAACTATTTTTTATATTTTGTTTTGTTTCATTTGTTTTTCATGATGTAGACATGAAATAAGAGCTCACCTGGGGCATTCATGTATGAGGGAAACTCTCCTTTCCATAAATCTCCTTGGCAGTATATAATCAGGCTCTAAAGTTTCAATGTCCAGACTTCTGACTCTGAAAAAAAGGAAAAGTACTTTTCCCATTTTTGCATTGAGTAAAACTAAAAACTCTAGACATTATATACAGAAGTAATGCCTGCTTGAGTGTGGTTGGTAGGGTAATAATATGGGTGTAATAATAGTTTTAACTTGAACATTTCACCAAAAATATCATATGGTGTGCTTGAGTGATAATATTATGTTACAGAATTACATGCTTATGATTTTGTAATAAAAAGGGGCAGTATTTGTGCCAGACCCAGTATAAAACAGACTTAAGAAGACACTGGAAGGTGGGTATAAAAATGTAGACTGGATAGGAAACTTGGGACCTGAGGAACCACATGGTGGTGAGTTCCCTGGTTGTTTTTTGTTTGTTTGTTTGTTTTTGTTGTTGTTTTTGCCTCATAGATCCCAGACATGGACCTGAAGAAGCCTATAACTGAAAATGTCAATGGGCACAGGCAAAAAGGCCCCATCAAAAGCCTGCTCTCTTTAGATAAAGGACCAGGAAAGGCGCAGCCTGCTAAGACAGAAAGCTTTTATAGAAGACCTGCTCTAATTCAGCTAAACACCCCAGAAAAAAATGTGGTTCCCCCCAGTCCCATCAGCAAAAGCTGAGGGGTGGGCCTGGATTCCATCCTTACCTGGCAGTAATAATTCATCTCTCCTTGTCCCTACTAGGATGGTGTCAGAGTAAGCCTAATAGAGAGTCAGGTAATGAGTCCACATCCCCATCCCTGCCAATTATGGTGGAGATTACATGGGGAACAGTAACGAAGCACTCCTACCTATCTCAGCCATGGTGGCATCAGTGGAAGCTTAGCTTGGAGCTGGAACTATCACCACTGCTCAGCAATAATGAGGAGCCCAAACCTACCTGGTGTCAATGAAGGCTAAGTGGGGAACCTTGACTTCTATACCCACATAGCAGAAATGAAATGATGTCCCCCTCTCCTACTGGAGCATTGTCAGAGGAAGTTAGCTAAAACAGAAGATCTAAATAAGTGCTAAAGTAATAGACTGTCAACCCAGAATCTTATACCAAATGAAAACAGGCTTCAGGTATGAAAGGGGAATTAAGACATTCTCAGATAAAGAAAAAATAAGAGGATTTGTTAAAAACAGACCTCTCCTAAGAGAGTGGCTAAAGGAAGTTCTCTAAACAAAAAAGAAAATGATAAAATAATTTTGGATATGACGAAGAAAGATTAATGGGAAAAGAAAAATATGAGTTAATATAATAGACTTTTTCTTCTCTGCTGAATTTTTCTAAATTATCTTTAATGCTTGAAGTACCAATTGTAACACTGCATGCTGTGATTCTAAATATATGTGGAATAAATATGTAATACAGCTCTATTATTAACAGAAGAGGGTAAAGGGGTGAAAAGATAGGGTAGATTTCTATACTTCACTGGAACTGGTAGCATTTTAACACCACTGGACTGCCATAAGTTGTGTATAAATGATGTAATACCTTGAACAACCACTAAAAAGGTATACTAAAAAATACATGCAAAAACATTATACATGAATCATCAATTGGAATTCTAAAAAAATGTTGATATAATCCACAGGAAGTCAGGAAAAAGATAGAGAAACAAAAACAGAGAATAAACAGAAAATAAAAATAAGTTGGCAGAATTAAACACTAACTTATCAATACATACATTAAGTGAAAATTGTCCAATTACACCAATTAAAACACAGAGATTGGTGTCATGGATAATAAAACATGACCCAACTTTATGCTGTCTGCAAGATGCTCACCTCAAATATAATGACATGGGCTGACTGAATGTAAAAGAATGGAAAAAGATATATCATGATATCATGCAAATGTAAATAAAAATAGAAGCAATGGCTCTACTAATATCAGATAAAGTAAACTTCTGAGCAAAGAAAATTACTGGGGACAGAGAGGGCATTACATAATGATAAAAAGTCAATGTACCAAGAAGACATTAGTAATCCTAAATATACATGCACCAAAGAGTGACATGATATATGAAGCAAAAAATAAAAATAAAAGGAGAAAAAGAAAAAATCACATTTTTGATAGAGACTTCAACATCCTCTCTCAACAATCGATAGAACAATTAGACAGAAAATTTGCAAAATACAGAAAAGCTTAACAACATTATCTTCTAACAGGATCTACTTAACATTTATAGAACACTTCACCTTAAAAAAATTAGAAATTGCATTCTTTTCAAGTACCCAAGGAATATATTCCAAGATAGATTTATTTTAGACTATAAAAAATTCCACAAAAATTTTTAAAAAATTAAAATAATACATGGTGTTTTCTCCGACTATAAAGAAATCCAATTAGGAAAGAATATCAGAAAGACAACAAGAAAATCTCCAAACAGTTCAAAACTAAACAACATACTTTAAAAGTAATTCATGAGTCAAAGAGGTCTCAAGAGAATTTTAAATAATACAATGAAATAGACATATTGTGGTGACCACTTCATAAGACATATAAATGTCGAATGACTGTTGTATACCTGAAACTAAAACAATATTGTATGTGAACTATAATTTAAAAATAAGTTAAAACAAAAATATATTGTACTGAATGGAAATACAATATATAAAATTCTGTGGGATGCATGTAAAGTGATGCTCATAGGGAAATTTATAGCACTCAATGTTTACAACAAAAATGCAAAAAAGTCTAAAATCAGTAACTTTCCACCTAAGGAACCAAGAGAAAAAATGGCAGGTACTTAAACTCAAAGCAAATAAAAGGAAGGAAAGGTTTTAAAAAAAAAACATATTGTTAATGGAGCAATATTGAAAACAGAAAAAAATAGTGAAACCCACTTGGAAAAAGGTAGTTGTCTGACAAAATAAAATGGAAAAGCCTCTAGCAAGACTGACAAAGAAGAGGGGATATTACTACTGACCCTGCAGACATGTAAAAAATAATAAGGGAATGCTACAAACAACTCCACAGACATAAACTTGGAAATTAGATGAAATGGACCAATTACTCTAAAAGCTTGAACTATCAAAATTCATCCAATGTGAAATAACCTTACCAGCCTTACTTATAATTATTAAAGTAATTAAATTCATAACTTTTTAAAAAACTATAGAAAATAAAAACTTCAAGGAATGATGATTTCATTCGAGAATTATACCAACTGCTTAAAGAATTAGTATCAATTATACATGATCTCTTTAGAAAATGGAAGAGGAAGGAACACTTCCCAACTCACTTTTTTACTGACAGCAAATACAAAGAATGTACAAAATAAGAAGATGACAACCTAATATTTCTCAAGCATATAGACACAAAACTCCTTAACAAAGTTTTAGCAATTTATGAGAAAAATTATACATTATGATCAAGTTAGGTTTATTCTAGTGATGGAAGGCTGGTTCAATATTCAAAAGTCAATCTGTATTATCCATCATACTAACAGGCAAAAAGAAATAACAATCATATGATCACCTCAAAACAATGTTGAAAAGAATAAACGAAATTGGAAGATTCACATTTTCTAATTTAAAAACTTAGTATAAAGCTACAGTAATCAAAAACAATGTGGTATTGGCATAAGGGCAGACATATGAGCCAGTGGAATCCAGAAATAAACCTATAAAACCGTGGCTAATTGATGTCATATACAAAAATCAACTCAAAATGGATCAACAACCTGAACACAGGAGTTAAAGCTATAAAACATGTACAAGAAAACATAAAGGAAAATCTTCGTCATATTGGATTTGGCAATAGATTCTTAAAAATGACATCAAAAGCATAAGCAACAAAAATAATACATAATTGGACTTCATCAAAATTAAAACTTTTGTGCATCAGAGGACATTATCAAGAAAGTGGAAAAACAATCTACAGAACAGGAGAAAATATTTACAAATTATATATCTCATAATGTGGTAATGTAAAATGTTACAGTTGCTATGGAAAATAGTTTGATGGTTACTCAGAAAGTTATCCTCTGACCCCACAATTCTATACCTAAAAGAATTGAAAATAGGTACTCTAATACTTCTACACAAATCTTCATAGAAGCATTATTCACGTTAACCAAAAGTTGGAAACAACTCAA